CTGAAATAGGAAACATTTTGTAAACAATTTTTGTATATATTTTATACATTTTATAACATATTATCTGAGAAGTAATTATCTGAAAAGTAACTGAGAAGGCCACAGACATCAATTTATGTGGCATTAAAATATTGACTTAAGTAACTATAAATCAATTAATTTTAGACTTTGTTTAATATAAATACATTTGTAATATATAGCTTTAATAGAAAATTTACATTGAGGAAAATGCAATTAATACTAAAATATTTTAGAAACAAGCTCAAGTGGAAAAGTCACACTGTATGAAATATTACTTTATTCTCATTTTTAATGGATTTTGAACATGCTGACACTCTCCAGGGTGCTCTCCATTCTCTGAGGTTTCCTTTTGCCTTCTCAGATGGCTTCATCCTACTTTCTATTCACATATAGCTTCAAAACTTCTTATATGGAAGTAAAATGGTACTAAATATGTTTGTATTTGATAGAGATATATGTGCGTTATATTCTAAGTAGTTATATTCTAAGATATGAACATGTCAGGTAATAAGATTATAACTGAAAATATTCTGCTTCTTCTATCCTTTTCATATATACTATTTTTCATATATTAAAAACAACCACAAATACTCATTACCTTTTTTATATTATTTTTTAACAATATACATGCGAATAAACATTCATTTTTTTATATGATTAAATACATTAGAATTAAAATACTGTGATTTTTATTTGTGACAATGAACACTATGTTATTCCATAAGGTTACAAGTACTTTATTTTAAGATAAAACACATATACATCTTGTTATATATTAATAATAGCTAAGAAATATAGTTTTTTGCCTAAAGTGCCGATATGAAAATTGCTCAATGAATTGTGAATGTTTTTAATATTTCATTTGTAAATGGATTTAAAGCAATTTTAACAATGTCACTGTGTTTCCTGAGTCTTTAATTTCCTTAAGAGAGATTTTGAAACCAAAAGTATTGTTTAACACTATCATATCACTACAGAACATATCACTGGAGAGTGAATGGCCAGTGTCTCCAATATCTGAATTCAGGCTATGTAAGAAATATTGCAGTTATATAAACAGTCACATAGGGAAAACATGAAATTACCTAATTTATAATGACCACAGAAATAACATGCAAGGCAGAAAAGTTCACAAAACCACAAGTACTCGTGAGTGTAATCAGTCAGGACAGTGCTGTCAGATCCTAGAATATAGCAGGAGGAGCATTCGAGATGGGACCGTGTTGCTATGCCTCTTTAAAGATAATATGTACAATTCTGGGCATAAAGTGGTTTGTGTGTTTACATCATTGTATTGTTGATCTGATATTGGAGCTTATAATTAGAAATATCAGGCTTCAGGATATAAACCTTCAGTGAATAGAATGCAGTATTAAGACAAGTCCAGCCCAGTGGGTTTTCTACCAACATAATCTTTAATTTTTTAAAATTGTAGTAGTCAAATAAAATTAGCTAACAGCTACATATCAGAATATGCAATTTGAATAAACTATTTTCTCCAATCATCTGCCTTATTTTTCAAAAGAATGGAAAAGATCTTTTTAAAAAAAATAGGCAAGGAATAATCTGTAAACAATAAGAATATGTAGAACTAAAATATTGTACAGAAATTTGCGTAAGGGACATTTAATTAGTTGTCCCAACTAAACACAAAAACTATTCTGTGAAATTCATTCACCTCCATATTTTCTGGAAATATGAAGGAGAAAATTTGCATGGAATTATAATGAATTGTGAAACACAATAGTCTAGAAGCATGTATGTTTATGAAATGTATTGAGTATCCCACCAGCAAATCTCAAAATATATAAAATGACCTGTGTTTTATGTTTTCCAAGAATTTAACATTAAAGAGATTCTATTGCAGTGGAGGACCCTTCCTTTCTTCATGTTCCCGGGATTCCCAAGGAATCCAATGACCAGGCGAGGAAGAAGAAATAGAGGACATAAGAAGTCATATAGTCCTGTAACTACAGGAAACAAAATTCATCTCAACTATGGCAATTTCCAAAGTAAATATTAGAAATGGTTATTTTACTTATTAAGAATGAAGTCAGAACAGGCAACCACACGGAATCTTACAAAGTCACATGATTGATCACAAATCTTCGGTAGATAAAATCATAGCAGTATGTCAGCAGTGTTTTATAAAAAAGTTAACAATGTAACAAAATATTTCATTTAGACTTTTAGGACTGTTGTATGTCACATTTGTTAGAAAATTTCCTTAAAAGATATTTCCACATGATAATTTTTATGCAAATATTCACACATTATGATGTTTTTCAATTAAGGGGCTGGACCATTAAAAATGAAAATAAAATTATTTTTCTTACCAAATTCTTATGAAAATAGCTACAGGCATAGATGCCATGAAGTGTTTTTCTCCATGAAGATACTCAGGCTCCAGCAACAAGAGTGTCAGTAACAATTGTTCTTCTCAGGATAATATTTTCTAACAAAAGCAAACTCTAAAGGATATTTATTTCTTATCATCTTCAATACTATTTTTAAATCTAATAGTAAAACTCCCTGAATGCTATGAACTCCCTATAGAATAAAATCAATCTGCTGGGCATTTCTTACTACTCAGATAATTATTGCTAGGAAACCTATTATAGTTGGTCTTACATAGGCTTGCTAGCTCTCTAAAATTCAAATGTTTAAGGTCAGTAATAAGTTAGTTTATTAGCTCCACTGACATTCAATAGATATTCCAGATGCAACTGACTTACCATCTTTATAAATCTTTGATCAATAATAATATGCTTAAGAAAAGTTTTTATATGTATATACATTAATATAGATATTACTAACCATTATGGCAATTTTCAAGTGTTCTCCTAGAATTTACAGATAAAACATTTATTATTTCAGAATCAATAACTGTGGAATAGAATATTTCACACCCTTACACCACTAAGAATAAATTTTGTTTAAACATGATATTTTCGGTATGAATGCATTACTCACATATTTAATGTGGCTTACTGAAATCAAATATCAGAAAAATGCTTAAAGCAATGAAAATAAGACATAAAGAGGACAAATTGCTTCAAACACACTGATGACTGATGAATGTTGACAGCATATTCATGCATTCATCTTCATATGATTCAATTTGAATATATGATATATGTCAAAATCAAAATAATGTGAATGTATGTTGTCAGGTTTTCTGTCATGCCCAGTTCCCACAGTTGTTAAGTCCCAAAGAAATCACACAGATGTCTACATTGGTTATAAACTGATTGGCCCATTAGCTCAGGCTTCCTTTTAACTCTTATATCTTATATTACCCCATTAATCTTGTCTATATTAGCCACATGGCTTAGTACCTTTTTCAGCGAGGCAGTCACATCTTGCTTCTTCTGTTGCTGGTCCAGAACAGCAGAAAGAGCTTTCCTCTTCCCAAAGTTCTCCTGTTGTCATTGACCCACTTCTAGTTGTTGTCTGGTTGTCCTGCCTATACTTCCTGCCTGGCTACTAGTCACTCTGTGTCTATTTAAAATATAATTGACAGAATACAGACAATTGTCCCACACTACTTTCCCTCTTTAAAAAAAAGAACTCTGAATCTAATATCCCATGTTTAGCTTTTCTCCTTACATTAGCCACAACAACTTGTAACCAACATTCTAAACAAAGGAAAATATTCATACTCCATTTTGGGGAAATGTGGGGGTAGTTTTCCAGGCTACTTTCTGATGGTTGGGGGCACTGATAATCTTATGGGCACCTAAAGAAAATTTAGAATAATGATCAAGTCCCGACTGGAGTATCCTGTGAGGCTTGATTATCTGAGGCAGCATCTTGAATCTGTTCTGGATGGAAAACTCAGACATCTGGGCCATCTATTCCTACCAGAGATCTCTCAGGTAGTCTTCCTTGATCAAATCTGATTTTTCTTAACACAGAATAAATCCATAGCCTTTCATTTCCTGTGGAAACAAAAGCAAAACCTCTTCTTCAAAGTAACATACCTTTTGACATAAATTTGGAGGTCAAGCCATTTTCAAAATACCTATCTTGGATTAATTCAGAAGCATTTATAAACAAATATCTTTTGGAAGCTGTTGCTCCTTCCTCAGCATTCAGACAATACAAAGAGAAGATGATAACATACAGAATCCAGACTTATTTTTTCTCATTATAAAAGCTTTGTGAACACCTAAAGTTTGGAAGCATTGTTGGTTAGGCAGATATTTTGTAAGAGCTGGAGGATCAGAAAGTTTGCTGTGAGGTGTGTCTCCTATCACACATATGAAAAGAATATCAGAAGAAACATCCAAAAAAATCTTACCAACATTGCTGGCAAATATGAGTTGAATATGGCAAATATGAGTTGAATAGGAATCACACTAATGAAAAGGAGAAACAAGATCCATAAAAGCTCATGATACCTCATCACTATATATATATATATGTGTGTGTATATATA